GATTGGCCTGTTAGCCGTATAAAAGGCTTGAGCAGTTTCCGCCCAAGCCGAAGAGGACTCCACATCCATTTCGTGGGGACTCTGGGTACACGGCAGGGTAATAGAAACCCTGTGTGAGATCCAGAGGAGCGTGGCGGCCTGATCCACCGCCCACCTCTTCCCGTCTTCGAACGCAACTTTTATAAGACGTATTTACGATTCCTATTTTGGTGGCTCGTTCACCCAGAGCATCCGGAGCGCTGCACCGTGGAGCCTAGCAACCTCCACGAGACCGTCTGTGTTGTCTGTCTGTAACTGCAACTTAATCAAGCTTTCCAGCCTACACCACTGCCATCTCGGTGTAAGTAAACTATCTTTTAAAACTACCGCTACGCGTCCGTGCCTAATTCCAGCTCGAAGGCCTTCCCTCTCCGCCCCGGCGTGCCCGGGCTGCTGGCCACAGCCCAGGTGCAGCGCGAAAAGGGCTCGGGTCGCTCCCGGCCCGCACATAGGGCAGAGCAGGTGCCTACCCGCAGACATCACTTGCTTTTGCTTTAAAAGAAAAAACTTCTTCCAATTTGTGACTATTCTCACGGCCAGAGCTAGCTAGAAAACGGAATATGCCACATTAAAGAAATTCAGTTTTCCACATAACTTTGAAAGACTTGTGGCCAATTCTGCCAACAGAATTTTCCTTCTGTGCCAATAGGGTAGAAGCGATAGTTTGTCTTCTGCTTCACATAGGCTCCAAACTTAACTCTCACCATAGGAAACATCTATCTCCATAGCAAACACAAGTTGGTGAAACTATTCATGTACCTGAAGCTAGGCATGGAAAACTGTCTGCAAGTCCTCATCAGGAAATCCAGTCAAAAACAGGCTAACCTATAACCAGTTGGTACATTTATCTTTAATTGTTTAATTAAATGTTTAATTGTTGTGATACAATTATTATAAATTTTAATACAAATTAAAAGCCCAGAGGCACCTAAATACTCCTAAGGATCTGGGCCTAGATCCATTCAAGAAACTCTCAGCAACCTATTTAAAAAAAAAAAAAAAAAAAAAAAATCAATTTAAAGCATTTTTTTAAATCAGTGCAATACAATGTAGTAAGAACCTTTATTATGATTTCACCCAAGTCAGTATGCAGTCAACTTGAAAAAAATCCCAGATAAACTGCTTCTACACCAAAATAAGAATATCTACATTGAATTTTGCACTGTTTTATAAGTATATAGCTTAAACTAAGCTGGTGTGACTGAATATAAGAAATCTAAAATTCCACAGGTTCTTGTCCAATGCAATAGAAACAGTTGATGCCTAGGAAGGAGATGATCAAAAAACTTAACACTTAGATAGAGGGCTAAATGATTCAACAGCTCCTTTTGATACCCCAATGGAAATACAAACTAACTTGGAAAAAAAAATACTGTTTTCAAACAAAAAGGTGCCATTGGATAATATTGAATATTGTTTTATAGCTTTTTCTCAGATACGCGTAAGACATTGGAAAGCTGAAGAGAAGTCCAACTCACAAGATATCTGCTTTAATAAAACTCTACTAATCAAAGGAGCCATAGCTGCATAGCCAACAAGTCTGCAGAAGGCCAGGGCTAGCTTCACCTCTCCAGCTCATGTCACCAACAAAACTGCAAAGCTCCTGTTATTGCAAGGTCAAATTCTGTGAGCGCACAACTAAAGGCAGAAACTGACCAGCAAAAGTTGCATGGATGATACACAAAACGGAAACTTTCCAAGAAGACTTGCAAAGCTTTGGGCATATTTCTAAGGCTGCTGACTGGGAAAACTGAACCACGTTCTTTAGTTTCTTGTAAACTTGGCAAAATTCATTAAAGATCTTAGAGACACTCCACTCTTCCCCTCAGCCAGTTATGTTGCAGCCTGCTATCATGGAAGGGCTGGTAGGCTCTTTACAGACCACACTGAAGACAGTGCAGGTGCTCAGGGAACATTTGTAGGGACTGTACAGACCTGAGCGTCAGCAGAGCCATCTTTGCCAGAGGTGCAGAAGTCTGCAAGTTTGGTTTCCTTCTCTCTCCTCCTAGGGTAGCAGCTTTCAACCCTTTCAGACTTCAACCCCCTCCCCTCAGCAAATGCCAGCTCTTGCCTTTCACCTGTCTTTTGAAATTAGAAGAACAGCAGAGCTGGTCTTTAGCTGCAAAGAACTCAGAAAGACCCTAGCAGGACTGAACGGCCACGATGCTATGGGTATCTACAGGAAAGCCCTGGACTTCTCGTGACTATTGCTGACCAGGGCTGACAAGACTTTTCAAAGGATCTCAACGCACCTTGGCGGAGAACCAAGAGCAGCGAGCGTTAAGTACAGCAGTTCTGGAATAAAAACCAGGGACAAGACAACAAAGCCAAGCTGGCGGTCAAGGTGGGGCTGAGATTGGGCCCTGGTGACAAGAATCAGAGGGCCTTGTTACATGGTAATGATAGGCTCCTCCTAGAGCTCTTAAATCCTGGGTTGTCAGCACATTAACACCTTGAAGTGGTTTTAAACCCTTGTTATGTGGTCCAGAGTTACACCACTCCAGGGCAGGATTCTCTTTCCTCTGCACTACCCAGCTCCTGTTCCATTTAGGTGTGCCTGCTCTCCACAGATGTGCTGCCCAAAATCAAGTCCTCCAGGATCTTTCACACCCCTGCCTGTAAAGTGTGGATAGGAACCTGTCCTGGTTCACCAGCCCTCCAGTGGCAGCTCACAGCTACAGCTCCTAGTCCTGCCCCTGTTCCCCGTCATAGCTGTGCAGGCAGGAGCCACTCAGGAGGTGGTTTCTAGATCGAAGGTGCGACTGCTCCAAAAACCCAAGCTACTATAACACTGATCAACATTAGTGCGGCTCCCAGCGTAAGTGAAATGAGGCCCTCCGATGGACCCCAGCAGGGCTGAATGGCTGTGACACTACAGGTACCTATGGGGATACCCCAGGCTTATCCCACCACTCACGCCAAGGGGGGCCTGATGAGACCCTGGAAAGGACCTGGGGGGCAACCCTGGTGGAGAACCATGGGCAGCAAAAGCTGTGTGTTGGCAGGCCTGGAAAAAAACAACAACAGAGAAAAGGCAACAAAGCAGCATTACCAGGTCTTAAATATGAAAGTATTGTGTTGGAAGCTCAAAATGATCGTATTCGCTGAAAAACTATCGTGCCCTGAAAAAGTCGGCAACGAAGACTTCTTATTTACTTTATATTGCTCATTATAACTCGCTAGTGAGCGAGGAAGAAGCGAGTCAAAGTTGAAGCATTACTTTATTTCAAGGCAAGCAGGCATGAGGCAGTGCCCCAGAGTCAGTTAAAACTCCCAGGAATGACCCGGGTTCTGCATCAATGAGCTGCCTCCAACATTATCCTACATTTTGAACACTTCTTCTCTTATAGATCGCGCATCTGGCAAGGGTTGAAATGATCGCACAAATCCGAGAGTGGTCGGACACCCGGCACCACTGCAACAAACCCGGGCTGGCTGCAGCGGTGGGGCTGAGACTGGGCCCTGGTGACAAGGATCAGAGACCGTGGGTGGGTGGATTTCCTCCCCCTCCCCCAGTGGCTTGGCTCCCCCTTGCCCCTGCGCGCGGCAGGGAGGCGGCCGGGCGCGGGGAGCCGGGGCCCCGGGGGGCCATGCAGAGCGCAGGGCCCGCGCTCACCTGCATGGTGTCTGCAGCGGGCTCCGGCCGCCGGGGATCGCCGCCCGGGACAGGCTGGGGCCGCTGCTCTGCCTGGCTGCACGCCGGGAAAGAGGGAGGGAGGCGGTGGCGCAGGCGCAAGCGAGGGCTGCCCGGCGGCGGGGTTATCGCACAGTTGCGCTGCGCTGCGCTGTCCTGCTCGCACTTTGCGCTGGGCTCCCGAGGGAATTGTCTCACACCTCCACCCTGGGGACTGTCACACACACCCCCCTCCCCTCAAGGAAACTCTGTGTCTTTTTGTCACATACACACACCCTCGAGGAAAGTGTCTCCCCCCCCCCAAGTAAACTTTCTCAAACCCACACACCCCACCCTCCCTCAAGGGAACTGGCAATGCCAACCTGACCAGCACTATAAATGAAGGAGACCCAGGGCTCATAATAGACCATAGTATGAACATAAGCTGGCAGTGCGATGCTGTAGCCAGCAGGGAAAACAATACTCCGGCATGCATCAACTGATGTATCTCTAGCAAAACCAAGGAGGTGATTCTTCCGCTCTACTCAGCACTGGTGAGACCGCAGCTGGAGTACTGCATCCAGTTCTGGGCACCGCACTTTAACAAGGACATGGACAAGTTTGAGAGAGTCCAGAGAAGAGCCACCTGTAAGATCAGAGACTTGCACAGCAAGCCATACGAGGAAAGGCTGAGGGATCTGGGACTCTTCAGCCTGAAAAAGAGATGACTGAGAGGGGATTTGCTAACAGTCTACCACTACATCAGGGGCTCAGTGAACAACTGTTACCAGGGCACCCTTAGGGCCAACCAAGAGTAATGGCCAAATTTCCAGAAGGCTATTTCAGGCTCAACATTAAGAAAAACTTCTTCACAGTCAGGGTGGCCAGACTGTGGAATAAGCTCCCTTCAGAGGTGGTGCAATCACTTACCCTGGAAATCTTCAAGAAGAGACTGGAAGGTCACCTTGCTGGGGTCGCCTGACCCCCAGTTATCTTTCCTGCCTGGGGCAGGGGGCTGAACCTGATGCTCTTCCAAGGTCCCTTTCAATCTATGAATCTCCTGCACCCTCTCAAGGGAACTACCACATGTACACTCCCTCAAGGGTGCACTGCTCAAAATGAGGGCAGGGAAGGGGGTGGGAAATAGCTACACTACATTAGTTAATATCCACCAAGACTGTGTACCTCTTCTCTAGGCACCTGCTACCTCCATGTGGACTTTTTAAAAGAGCTATAGGTAATAAAGGTGAAGAATCACTTAATGTCTCAGAAGTCAGGGTCTAAATACCATCATCTAGAGGAGGTTCCCAAAACTGTGGGATACATAGTCCTGGCAGTATGCAAGACATCTCTGGTGGGGGGAGGGGGGGTATACAGGAGAAATTGTGTAATGACAGATTTAATTTTCATTATAATAATTTGCATTTAAGGAGTTAAAATATAAAATATATGCTGGAAGGGGAACATGGGCAGCTGGTAAATCTGGAAGGGGGTACATAATAAGAAAAAGTTTAGGAACCTCTGGTCTAGAGTGATTCTTAAGTTCAACTACTACCTTATGCACTTGTAGATGTAGACTTTTAGATAGATATAGATATACACACCTTCTTAATTCTATGCTACATGGTTAATCCATTAGCAACAGTAGGACTTCTTTCATGCATAAACTTCAGTAGGGCATAAAACTTGATAGGCTTGGGGCCAGTGTGTATTTACTACACAAAAAAGATGGTGCAACATAATCCAACCTCAACAAATAAAAAACAAAACCCACAGAAATTCAACATGTTACAAAACACTGAGACTCTTAGCCTTTTTATCTTAAGGGGAAAAAAACAAATCTTATGGAAAGGCTAAGAATACATGGTTAACTAAAATTTTCCAGTCTAAAATGACAAGAATATTCCAAATTAATCAAGGGCTGCAATTGCATAGATTTTAGTTATTCTTGCTACTCCCCTGCTGTTGTTTCTTCTCATAACAGCTATATAAAGAAATGAAAGAAAGTCCTGGCACTTTATTTACATAAGTGGGATTCAGCTATTTTCTTGGGTTTGCCAGACAAAGACTTAGATAAGTGAGACTAAGTTAGTTTCAGGCTAAGGTACCATTTCTGCAAGCACTTTTGGAAATGTTGCCATCCTAGAACTATTCATAGGTACAGATATTCTCCACACACCTGGTTGAGGGAGTATGGGGCATCTGATTACGTTAACTTAATTAAGAGTAAAATTAAGTAAAAGTTTACAAGACTGAAGGCTTAGATTGTAAGACCTCAGGGGAAGGGACTGTTTTTGTTACATGTTTGATGTACTTAACAAAATGAGGTACTACTACTGACTAGAGCCCAAGACCATCACAATAAAATAAACAAATAAACAGGCATGTTAGCAATCCTGCATCTGTTCACTGCTAACAGATCTTTGATGTGTTGAAACTCATTAAGACTAGCACCTGGCAACATTTACTTTGAAAAAAACATTTTGGAATAATAGTTCCAAACTAAAACTTTGCATTTCAATAAATGACATTATTTCTCTTTTATCAAATTATATGAAAACACATACTACACTAAGCTCTGGGCATGTTGAAGCTTTTTTGCCTTCTCCCAGAACTGTTAGGAAGCATCCTAGCACTACTCTTCCTTCTTATTAAAAGCCTATGCTTTTTATATACATCCAGGATATTGTACAATACCTATCAATTTGGTACTTAAGATCCATGGACAGTTAAGTAGTAACAGCAGATTTGTTTCTCACCAACCCACTAAGAGGTCTGTTAGAATAGAAATTTGATTTTGGAAATTGTATAGATGTTTGGGGCACAGTGCTTTTGAGATAAGGATTTCTCAAAAAGCTGGCACTTTAATTTTAGGTCCAAATATCCCACCTAGTGACAACCACATGTGAACTGTGCAGCTGCCACATTCCTCCAATCCTCAGTTATATAGACCAAAAGGTTGTTTTAATATGAACAATATAAACTTGGCCATCACTCCCCTGACTGTCTTTTCTGGCCTTGGGTCCAGGAGTCCTTAGTAATAGGAGCTATGAAGTGCAATTTACTGACAAAACAAAACAGATAATCTTACTGAAGCCAATCTAGTGCAACAGGCTGCTTGGAAGCCTGGCAGACAGACAGCATACAAAGTTTCTGGGGCAGACGAGAGAAAATTGTAAGGGCTAGGCCACATAATCCTCTTATGTCTACCTGGAGTTTAGTGGGTTGTCAGAGAGAGATGGAGACAAAAGTCTTTGTCAAGGGGTAATCACAAAGTAAATAGATTATGAAGTGAGAGAAGATAAATAATGGAAGCAATAAAAACCCCCACCAAAATGTAGCTCTTTACCTTGGTTTCATTTCCCCACTCATTTGTTCTGTTAAAGAGCTGCATATTGAGTCTAGCAAGTAACACCTTACCCCCACCAGCAGGTCACCTCCAGATAAGCTAAAGGCTTGAAGCAGATGCATGGGAAAAATCCAACCACATACTGCAAGAAGATTAACAGTCAGTCACTGATAGTAGTTGTAGTTCACGCCAGGTAGAAAACACACATGCTTACTCAGGCTAGGCAAAGTTGACTTATGCCATGGCAACATGCTGAAACCATGCCAGTTTGGAAAACTAGTGTAAGTCTTTACTATTCATTCCATCCAGGAAGAGCACACACCAACTGCAGATGCTTCCTCAGCCTGATGAAGGGTATTTATACCCAAAAAAAACTTGCTAAGAAGAATGTTCCAACTATTTGCTTTGGTCTAATAAAAGATATCAGATTTACCCAAAGAACCTTGTCTGCCTAGGTTGTCCTTAGACCAACACAGCTATAACCTACATCGCAGTCTACATGCACACATTTAGAGTAATTCTGATGTGATATCAAAGTGGATGCTTATACAGGGGCTTGCCACAGATCACATTGTAACGCATACATAAAAATAGTACAACTTCATATTTTGTAACTGTAAGAGGCCTGGTCTAAGTGACGAGACAACATACCTCAGTAATGTTGGCAATGCTATTTTGATTTTATCCTGCATTTAAAGATAGGGCACATCAAGGATGCTCCTCACACGACAAGGAACAAGGGTGACAAGGAACAATGGTAATAAGCCGATGGAGAATAGGTTTAGGTTAGAGATCAGAAGACAATATTTTACAGTTAGGGTGGCCAAAATCTGGAACCAACTTTCCAGGGAAGTGGTCTTTGCCCCTACCTTGGGCAAATTCAAGAGGAGGTTGGATGATCGCCTGTCTGGGGTCTTGTGAACCCAGCTTTCATTCCTGCCTGTGGCAGGGGGTCAGGCTAGATGATCTGTTCAGGTCCCTCCTGACCCTAGCTACTATGAAGTCATTCTTTTTATACTCAAGTCCCCACTTTTGTTTCACTACCACTATTGTACTCTGCAAGGCAACAGGCTGCTCAATACAGATTTACTCCCAATGTATAACACTGAAATAATTCAGTTGATAAGAGAGAGCAAACCCAGGCCCCCTTTCAGTTTTCAAGTTAGTTCAGCATCACAACATCTCTCGCTGGAACAAACTTTCCAACTTTACTGGGCAACTTTGTAGGCCAGCAGCACTATCAAAGCTTTTCTGATTTGGTCAAGAAACATAACCCTATGAATGGCAAATGGAGAGAACCTCCATCCTCCGAAAATCCACTTCAAGAAATAAAATAAATATCCTGGCCAAGTCCCTAGGTAAACAGGATTACCCAAGATTACCTGTTTCCTGTGAGCAGGTTTTCTTATACCATTTGCTCCACTGAAGGTACTCCTATTTGCATGCTTTATTCTATAAAATACCTCTCACCTCACCCCAATAGGACACTGAATAGATCTTGCAATGAAAGCCATATTCAGACTTTTCTCCTAGTATAACTGTTTCAATATTACTACAAAAGATTCAAGTTTGCATTGTTTAAACTCAAGACAAACATGCTGGGGGGCAAAGAGGGGAGAGGGAAGATAGATTATTGAATTAATGGACAGAAGTACAGATAATGGTACATACCCTTTAATATGAGTTTATTTCAAAAGTTAAAG